ATGCGTTTAATTAGACTCTACTGAAAATATATAGCAATTCAAGCATTGGGTATAACAAGGGCGTATCACGTAAAAATGAGATTCGAGAAAATTGAAAATGAAGTTTTAATGTCTTATATCTTTTAAATATTTATAATATGACTCATATTATACTTCACTATTTATTTGTCCTATGATATAGCTAAAAAATTCAGGTGTTATTATTAAAACAATTAGACGCATTTGAAATTTTTTTTTCCCTTGTGTTATCCGCCTTTGTTGCACCAAACCGGTAAATTATTGGTTTTATAGGAAATAAACAATAACTTTAGATACTTATGCGAATCAGTCTTATTCAAAATTGCATTGAAAAAACGTTAAACGTATTTTTAATCATTAATTTGCTGCTGGATCATTGACTTACAATTATATGGACGTCGGGTCCGCGCTAAAAAGTGTCCGCACTTGTAAGGCGCTAAAATCGTATACAGAGCGCGACACTCCGCTTTAGTCTTCATTTGTTCTACTGACAGCGCGATACTGCGATGACATTACAATTTAAATTTCGAATAGGTTGACTTGGGACATTTTTTTCGTGGTTTTTGTATTAGACCCGTCGTCCATTTATTTGTAAGTCAATGTGCTGGATTGAAATTAATCATCAAGGCTGATCATAACGTGTTCGAAATTCAAATGCGCATCTTATATTTTTTTCATTTATTTGTTTTGGCAGCAAGGCCATTGATCTAAACTAATTTGCACATTTATAAATAAATAAATGTATGCTACAAGGTCCGCCCTCGTAGCATAGATTTATTTATTTATATGTGCCACCTTCTAAATGAATGAAACTTACACCATGTAGAAGGGATAGATCATAACCTCAAAAAATACATTATATAAAAACATTATGTTTCGTCTGTTACGGGGAATAATATACAACTTTTTTTGTTGTCCAAGGTAGGCTTTATGGTACCTAGAACTAAATTGGTGCGACTTCATAAAATGAGGTTATTTGCAGTACCTATCACACGATGTAGAGTGAGTGAGATGGCTCCCTCTGCCTCGAGCACTTAAGTATCTAAATCAGTAGCTTAACTTCGACTC